TTCAGCTCACGATCCATGATTTTCCTACTGAGCAGCTGAACAAAGCCTATAAAATGACAATTTAACAGTGCAAACGCCTCTTTCGATTCTGAACATTATCGCCGGAAAAAAATATAGAACCCGAGGACTCTAGAAGAAAATTGCCTGAGATAAGGTAAGCTTTTTGGCAATTATTTGACCTATCAATTCGTTTTCACTTTTAAATGTTTCTGGCGACTGATGTTGAACAATACATTTCTACAGATTCAGCCTAAATTCAGGGAGAAGTGACAACCAGATAGAGTTTTATAAACAGAATAACGTCTAAAATGCTTTCCTTGAAGGCCATCAATTATAACGCTTTTATGAAAAAAGTTCATTTGGGAGGTTTTTCTTGTTGATGATCTTTGCAAAGATATTTCCAAAGCTGAGGACATTTTCTATTACACTCATATCTACTACTGGAGGAGATTAATTTCTTGGTTAAGGTTACTGTCAACAAAACAGGGTACCTTACGGCAAAATGGTCTTAGGCGCCTTGCTTTAAAGGAAACAGTGGAAACTTTTGTCATAAAGTATAGATTCTGACATTAAGAAAAAAGGTTTAAACAGTTTCTGCTTTGGTAGGTACGTGCATGTCTTTAAAAACAAAAATGAAAGTGTCGGCTTAATTGACTGAGTCGCCAGCCTCCGCAAACTCGACTGTACTGATGACTCGGCAGGTAATAGGCTAGCCGAAGTAAGATTCGTTTTTGGAATCTTTTTCGATTCCTTAGAAAATATCTTTTGAGGTTGGACAAACGAATATATATCGGCCGTTGTCACGCGCCGGGAAGTTACAAGAAAAACATTCTGAATTTCTTTAAAGCTTAGCAAAGCTTGGTTTTTTGATATCTGACGAATGTTATAGCCAGCTGGAATATTGAGACGCCTAGCGAGTCTCGTGTTGATTAGCTGCCAGTAACCCGTCCCTTTCGAATTCATAGGCTCTACTGATCGTAGTTATAACCTCTTATCGGTCTCGGGACAATCTCATCTAAGTGAAGAGTGACTGGTTGAGTAACCCTGAAAAGGAATGCAGTTGGTGAGACTGACTGTGGACGCTTCGTACTTCGTTAAGCGAAGCGGAGGTTTATAACTCAATCACAACTCTTTTGATGTACTGAATTCGATATCGTTTTACTTGCTATTCATCCTTGTAAAAATATTTCAGAATACATTTTTTTCATACTCCTCTACGAAAATTTAACAGTTTTAAAGTTTAGCTGGAGAGCATGCATGGACTTTCTACCGATCTTGTACCAAGTATTTTTATATCACTCGCAACTCTGAGCTTTTGAGGAGGAAAAAAGCGTTTGGATCGATGGTTTAAAGGGTAACTTAAAAAGAAAATCCACAGGACATGTCCATGTTTGAATTTCGATCTATTGCCGGCTTCAAAGATGTAAAATATGCAAATCAACACCTCCCATGGCAGAAATATCTAAGTGATTAAAAGGAAAACTACTGAGAAAAAAAGGAATAAACCGGCAGCTA